GGTACAGAAAAAAGGACAACAGTTTCATAAACTAGAGTACATATGTATCTGTTCAATATATTTTTATATCAGATGCATTAACTAGAATTTTTGGCCTTGCTGTTTACTTCTGCTTGACTGGGCCCATGAACTAAATTCTAAAATATTCTATACATGAACTAAAATCTAAAATAGGAAATGGTAAACAGTCACATTTTTATAAAGCGCTTTCAAAGCAGTTAAAGCACTTCACAACACACAGCACACACACCAGTGTACAACGACACTGGGGGCAAGGTGGGTTAAGTCTAAGGACACAACAACAGCATTCACATGTGGGAGCTGGGATTGCACCACCAACCTGTGGGTCAGTGAATCTGACCGCTCAACCAAAGACCCACTGAGAGCGGGATTTGAACCTCCAACCTTCTGAACTGAACTACTGTCTCTCCTGGAGTAAACTGAACTCATTTGCTTTCACTGCACAATAAACAGACTTTATGCCATTTACCATTTACTAAAATATGTAAGGTTTCAGGTGGGGGTTTGTCACCTTCTTGTTTCTATGGAGATGTCATTGCTCTGCTTCAAATGTTCCACAATATGACATTAAACTGATCTACCTTACCTTACTTAAAAAAAAAAAAAAAAAAAGGTACTCCAGGCATTCTGACTGCACAGATCTGACCTGTAACTTGGTCTGGTTTGGTCTCCATGAAGATAGAAAGGTTTAATGCCACACTGTGAAACATTTCAGACACAGTAATAACATCTCCATGGAGAAAAACAGGTATTGAACCCTCCAGCAGAAAAGTGACAAGATGCATCTTTAATCACAGTTCTGTTTCCCATCTCTTTCTCATTTGCTTTAATCTTACTTCTAAACGAAACTATTGAGAAAAACTTGTTGATTTGAAGGATTTACAGCTCAGCCTGCTTATTATGACCATCTCTCCTCCTCCTCCTCCTCTTCTCCTCCTCCTCCCTCTCTTTCTGAACATGTACGCTTTTTCAAATGCTAATTCCTTTTATTACTCTTTGTGTGTAGGTCCTATCATCAGACACATGGGACCCCTGACTCATCCTGCGCTCCGCTGCTTCTCCTGCTCTATCTCTGCCCCAGCCACTGTCACGGCCCTGATAAGCACACGTCGTTTAAGTCTATCTCTGTTACCATTAGAAGACCCCAACAGGAGCGCTCTTTTGTCCTCAAACTTATCCACAGAGCCATAGCTGCCCCCCTCACTCTCGTTCACTCTCACTGGCGTAGTATTCTTAGGCTTCGTTTCTAATCAGAGATGATGTCACTGCACAATCTCGTCATTCAAATTCAAAGCATGAACGCGGGGGGGAATGTGAGCTATTTAACAGGCATTTAACTCATTAAAGATTCATTAAAACGACACCATGCAAAGTTTGAAAAGTACCTCTGGTCAAAGAACGTGGAGGATTTCTTGGTAAATAAAAGCAATCTTCTATATTGTATTCTCATTTTTAAACCAGGGAGTTTAAGAGATTAAGGGAAATGGACATTATTGCTTAAGTTATGTATTTGTATTTGTATTTGTGTTTATTTATTAAACGGACAATGCATATTAAAAGACAAACATGGACTTGTAAATATGCAGGATTGTAGCCAAAGCTCATTTCCAAGGCCACATCACTTGTATAATTCATAAAACATGACAAAAGCTTAGAACCCCCACTCCTACACACACCTCTCACTCATACACTCTAAAACACACTTTAGTACACAAAATGTACACATCTCACTACTTCCACATGCACAGTATTAACATCTATTTACAGGTCTATATACAAATATAATTGCAGTTCCCAGTGTCCCATCGATTTGAGCTCCCGGGCTCTATTGCACATGTACACAACCCCCAAGTGCTCTTACACTTTAAATGCCGTCGATTTGAGCTCCTGAGCTGAGAAGAGCAATAACAAGTCACATTTTAAAGTGTATGGCATTTATTTTATGTTTTGATCAGTTAAACATCGACATGTGTGTGCGACAGAATTAAATGATTGAATAGTTTGGATTTAATATGTCATTTTATCGTTATCATTTTCATTACATCGTATTTCATTTTGTTTCCATGTGTAGAAAATGTTGTAACTTTGTTTAAAAAGATGCTGCATAAATAAAATATCAGTATATTATAATAGGAAATTCACACTGTAGACTATGATATTTATTTAATTTAAAAATGTCAGTGTTTCCAGTCGTTTCTTTCTCTTCTGTAGTGGCAGTTTTATTTGATAGAAGATCTGGGCCTGTGGAAATGAACTCTGCCCAAATTCATCTAAATGAGTGAATAATGTTGATTCTACAGTGGGAGCATTATTGGATGGTTAAATTGTCCTATCGATATGTGCTCCCTTTAGTCGGAAGCCTGTTTAAGCAGTATACAACTGTCCACATGAACTACACACATTCAGATAAATGATTTGAAATTTGACATAACTTTTTCATTAATTAATCATTGCATGTATATATCGCCTTTTGAAATAG